CCCGGAAGGAGCCCTAGGGGGCTGGGCTCCCCCGTCAGGACGCCGGCCAGGTGCCCACCTGAGCCCGATGCCCTGCGCCGCTTGGCCCTTTGGGGGCGCGATGCCACCTCGAAGGTGCCTTCCCACGTGTTGCAGACTAGGAAACTGCAGGACCCGACCCCGCCATGCCTGCAGGAATGATGTGGGGCACTCATCCATTGTCGGCATCTTTGCGGGATTCGGTGCCCAAGGCTCACGGGGTCCGCCCATCCATCCAACAAAAGTTTCGTGAATAGTGGGCACCACTGTGTGCGGGCACTTCACCTTCCCTCACATCCCGTCTATTTAGTCCTCAAACTACTCTGGACCAGGTAGACATAATTATCCCCATTTTACAGACTAGAAAACTGAGGCCCAGGCACTCACAGCCCCCCTGGGAGGCAAAGACTGGATGCCTGGCCCTGGGCAGACCCTTTAAGTGCAGTATGGACCATTTTACAGATAAAGAAACTGAGGCCCAGAGAGGAAATGTCATCTGCCTAAAACCACCCTCCAGTAGTTGTGGCAGAGTCAGGATTTGAACCCAGATCTGCTGACTCCAGAGCTCTTAACCACAGTTAGGAAAGGGTGCAGACAGCATGTATATCTGAGCCTCGGTTTCCCCATCTTAACACAGTAAGGGTTGGCTGAGAGTGGAGCTTCTTCATGTGGGATACAGGAATGGGCTTCTGGGGGCTCCGTGAATCCCACAAAGGTGTATATATACAAGTGTGTAGCATGTGTGTTTGATGAGTGTGCATGACATGTGTGATGAACGTGTGTGATGTGTGTGTGATGTGTGTGATGTGTGTGATGCCTATGTACATTTGTATGATGTGTGCATGTGTGTAATGTGTGCATGGTGAGCGTGTGTGATGGGTTTGTGATGTGTGTGATGTGTGCATGAAGAGTGTGTGATGTGTGTGTGTGATGAGTGTCTGTGATACCTGTGTGCATGTGTGTGATGTGTGCATCCGTAATAGGAGTGCCTGTTTATGTAGAGGGGCCACAGCTCTCATCAGAGGGGACCCAGAACCCCTAAAGGCCAGGATGGTCTCTAACCTCGCTTCTACAGGGACTGGCATGCAGTGGTCAGTCCTGAGTGCCTAGACCAGTAGGCTCCTGCTGTGGCCAGAGGCTGATCCTCCCTCCGCCTAGGCAGGTAGTGAGAGCTGGGTCCAAACCCTGCCTCTGTTCTTCCTAAGCTCCTTGGGCAAGTCCTGCCCATCTTCAAGCCTCGATTCTCTTCTGGGAGGAGGACAATTGCACCTTCCTTACGGGGATATGGGCGGGATTGAGATACCACGGCAATGCCCTGGCACGCACGGTTCCCTCTGTACATAACCCTCTAAGGGCTCCCTACTTCCTCCAATGACATTGCCACAGTGCCAACTTTATCCCCTTGGGGAGCTGCCTCCCTCTCTTCCATATGTGATGTTTGGCACCTACTATGTGCCATCTATTTGACATTCCCAAGAAACGCAGCTTTGTGTCTCTCTGGTTGCCCAGTGAGGGGCCATTCCCAGGAGGAAACTGGGGCCTGTCTGAGGACTCAGTCAGGGGGCTGGGATCAAAAACTGTCACCACAGGAGTACAACATGGTGAATGTAATTAATGTCACTGAATTGTATGCTTAAAAATGGTTAAAACGAAAAGCTTTTTGTTATAGATGTTAACACAATAAAGCCACAATTTTAAAAAAAAGTGACTGTCTTCAAGATCAGAGGCAAATAAACTATGACCAGTGGACCAAATCTGGCCTGCAACCTGTCTTTGCAAATAAAGTTGTATTGGGATACAAAAAAAACGAACGAAACAGAGGCATCATTCCAAGGGGCTGCTTTGAAGGGGACACAACTCTTCAGGAAGTAGAAGTGCTGGGCAGCAGCTTCCACCCTGGGGGTGCCTCAGAGGGACTGAGAGGTGTCTGGGACCCCTTTGCAACATGTCTGAGATGTTCATAACGGCATACAAATTCCTTTCCTAGCGCCACCAAACTCGGAGTTTTCGGCCACTGTGGCATTTCTCCAACAAAGGGGCCCTCTAATAAAAGCTATTATTGACATTTTGACTTCACAGAGGTCCTGTACTTGCTGAGGCCGAAGTGTTTGCTTATTTATAATTACAGCCAAACCTGTGGCGGTGTAGTCTAATGGTTATCACACAAGCTTAGCGCCCCACAGGCCTGGGTGTCAATATCCAAGCAACCACCTAGATGCTGTGTGGCCCAGAACAAGTCATTTCCCCTCTCTAAGCCTCATTTCCTTGCCTGAAAAAAATGAGCCATTGCGACTTTAAAAGATCCCTTCTGGCTCAAGAGTCCATGCTTCTGGGGAAGTGTAAAAGCGTCAGGTCGCCCTGCGGTGGTTCTGGGGCACAACCCGAAGCCCCCTTTAAGGATACACTTTCCTGGTGACATTCATTCTGCTTTCTGGTCCTCGGCCTCTTCTTTCCCAGAGCAGAGGGCAGGGTCATTTGAGGTTTCAGTGTTTGCTGAGATGAGGAAGAGAGGGGCTGGCTGGCTGGAGGTCTCGGGGCCTGTCCCTGCGGGTGGGGCCTCCTCCCTGGGGGCCTGGTCTGTGCTGCTGCCAAGACCAGACCACAACCGCCAACAACGACAGCAGCTTCCGTTTCCTGAGGGCTGACCCTGTGCCAGGCGCTGTGCTAAGCACTTTGCTTGCGTTGTCTCTGTCCCAGAGGCAGCCCTCATTGTCCCGAGGTATGGGCTCAGGGGGAGGAGGGGCTCGCCTGAGGGCCACAGATAGTGAATGAGGGTGCTAGCCTGTGCACTTACCTAGCAGGTCACACTGCTTCCCTCCGCGGAGACCCTCAGTGGGGGTTTCTTTGGGAGGAGAGAGAATTTTGCTCAGATTTAGGTGGGCCTTACTGTTTTCTGAGAGAACTCATGGACACGTACACAGACCTGGAGCCACACATGTGTGGGCCACACAGGGTCATGGACTTGTACACAGACACACAGACACACAGACACACAGACACACACACACACACACACCCTTCCGGGTTCTGGGTCCGGGTCTAGGAACCGCAGCCTCTTCTGTTGCAGATTCACGGACATGTCCACCCTGGTCTGTTCCAAACAGGAAATACTTTTCTCTTCACAGCAAACAAACCCGGGCCACAGCCTCCTTCTCCTGTGAACTCCCACAGCAGGCAGCGCTAAGGGTCTCTTTCCTCCCATGGCTGGTTGCTCCTTTCTCCCCACTGGATGTGTCCCCCTGGGCAGCCTCCCTGGCTCAGGCTGCCCCATACTATCAGCCCTGCTCGCACACCAGCTTCTGTGAGCCCCAGGCCTCCATCTGAGAGGTGCCAATATAGTGTCCATTCTAAAGGTAAGGAAGAGCCTAAGAGGAGTGAGAGGGCCCAGAGCCCTTGGCGGCAGCCCCCAGGAGGCCCAGGCATGATGGCCGCCAGGGCAGTGCCTGGATGCCATGAAAGGGAAGGGGCCCTGTACACGTCAGTGGCCTTCAAAGCTGCTGCCCAGACAAAGGGCAGGGCCGGAGGGCCGGGCCTTCCCTGAGAGCTTCCAGGTTGGGGAACAATGCCCGCACTCTACGCCTTTGATCCAGAGGTCCGGCCCTGCTGCCCTTGGGTCTCAGAGCAGGGGATGCCCCGCTGGGTCAGGGCAGAGGCACTGGGGGGGCCAGGACAGTCTGCAGCTGCCTGGCAGAGTTATTTATGCTCCATGGAGCTGCCCTTCTCACCCAGCTCATTCTTTCCTCACGGAACTAGGACCTGAGCTAAAAGGAGGACATGGGAGGAAGGAAGCCACCAGAAAATCATAAATTAGGGCTCCTCTCTAATTTATGATTAGGGCCTTCCTTCCTTCCTCAGAAATCCTCAGGAGGAGGGACCTGGCTGTTTGTGGGATTGAGGATGGGGGACAATAGTGACGGGGCTGGGCACAAGCAAGTGGCAGGGCAGGGCTCCTGTATTTGGAGTTAGGAGACCTGACTATTCTGTATGCTCTAGAGCAAGCCCCTTCTCTCTGGGCCTCAGTTCCCCCATCTGGAAAACAGGGCAATGTGAGGACTTGGTGACTTTCTGTGACTGTGAAGGGACGGACAAATGTGAAGACTTCTCCTTAGCAAAATTCTCACTTCCCTTCCTCTGGCACCTCCCCTCAAATCTTCTGCCCCACCTGCCTTCTCTGGGGTCTCTTACTCTACTTCTCTTTCCACACCTCTCCTTCTATAAAAATGGACTGATGGAGTCTCATTAGGCTTCATCCACCTAGCTGGAGGTAGAGAAAGGAGCTGTCGACTCATTCATACTAGGGTGTGGATGATTGATATATTTAATGCTGGGAATGGTTAGCAAGGGTTTGTTCTTCTTTAGGCCCTGAATCATTGGCAGTGGAACTTCTAGACTGGTGAGGGGAATGCTTGGTGACCAGAGGCCTAGGAACAAGGTCTGTAGAGAGTGAGGACCTCTGTGTGGAAAAGTGTCCATCTTTCCAATCCCACTGAGGTAAAGCCCACCCCCTACTGGCCACATCTGGAGTTGTGGCCATGAGGCCCTGCGGTTAGATGGATTGGGCAGGAGAGAAGGGCTGTCGAGAGGAGGCGGTCAGAGCAGACTCTGGAGCTGCCAGCCAGCACTGGAGTCTCCCGAGTCCCAGGTGGTGCCTGCTGGGTCATGAGCACACAACCCTGCCCAGCCTGATGTTCCCAAGGTGAATAGTTTCCACATCTAGGAAGGCAGTTCTGAAAGGGAAGAGAGCAAGAGGAGGACAGAGAAAGAGTCAGAGAAAGAGCCAGAGAGATGTGTATATGTAGAGAGAGACACTCAGAGAGAGAAAGAGAGACAGTAGGACAGAGATTGAGTGAGACG